TGGAATGTTCTATAGATGTCTGTTAAACCCAGTTGGATCATAACTTCTTTTAGTTCTTTTGTTTCTTTGTTAAGTTTCTGTCTGGAGGTCCTGTCTAACAGTGAGAGTGGAGTGTTGAAGTCTCCTACTACTAGTGTGTGAGATTTTATGTGTGATTTGAGCTTTAGTAATGTCTCTTTCACAAATGTGGGTGCCTTTGTATTTGGGGGCATAGATGTTCAAAATTGAACTTCATCTTGAAGGACTTTTGCTTTGAGGAATATGAAATGTCCTTCTTCATCTCTTATGATTGATTTTAATTTGAAGTCTATTTGTTAGATAATAGGATTGCTACACCAGCTTGTTTCTTGGGTCCGTTTGATTGGAAAGTCCTTTCCCAACCCTTTACTCTGAGGTAACATCTGTCTTTGACGTTGAGATGTGTTTCTTGTATGCAGCAGAAAGTTGGGTTCTGTCTTTTTATCCATTCTGCTAGTCTGTGTCTTTTTACAGGCAAGTTGAGGGATATTAATGACCATTGATTGATGATTCTTGTTTGTCCTTGATTTATTGGTAGTGGTGTTATTGTGTGTAGGTTCTCCTCCCTTTTTCTTTTGCTGTTTGGTAAAGTGGGATTATCTATTGCCTATGTCTTTGTGAGTGTAGTTATCTTCGTTGGGTCTAGGTTTTCCTTTTAGCACTTTCTGTAGAGCTGGATTCATAGATATGTATTATTTAAATCTGGCTTTGTCATAGAATATTTTATTTTCTCCATCTATGGTAATTGAAAGCTTTGCTGGATATAGTAGTCTGGGCTGGCATCCTTGTTCTCTTAGCGTTTGTAGGATATCTGTCCAGGATCTTCTGGCTTTCATAGTTTCTATTAAGAAGTCGGGTATAATTCGGATAAGTCTGGCTTTATATGTAAGTTGGCCTTTTTCTTTAGCTGCTCTTAATATTTTATTTTTATTCTGTAGGTTTGATGTTTTGATTATTATATGGCGAGGTGACTTCTTTTTCTGGTCCAGCCTAATTAGTGTTCTGTAAGAGTCTTGTATTTTCATAGGCATATCCTTCTTTAGGTTAGGGAAGTTTTCGTCTATGATTTTGTTGAATATGTTTTCTGTACCTTTGAGCTGTATTTCTTCACCTTCTTTTTTTTTTTTTTTTTTTTTTTTTTTTGGTTTTACGAGACAGGGTTTCTCTGTATTGTTTTGGAGGCTGTCGGTCGAGCCTGGCCTCGAACTCACAGAGATCCGCCTGCCTCTACCTCCCTAGTGCTGGGATTAAAGGCGTGCGCCACCACTGCCAGGCTTCTTCACCTTCTTCTATACCTATTATTCTCAGGTTTGGCTTCTTCACGGTGTCCCATATTTCCTGAATATTTTGTGTTAGGGATTTGTTGGTTTTGAGATTTTCTTTGATTGACGACTGTATATCCTCTAATGAGTCTTCAATACCTGAGAGTCTCTTTTCTATCTCTTATATTCTATTGGTGATACTTGCATCTGTAGTTCCTGATCATTTACCCAACTTTTCTATTTCCAGCATCCCCATATTCTATGTTTTCTTTATTGTTTCTATTTCAGCTTTCAATCCTTCAATTGTTTGAGTTGTTTCCTTCATTTGTTTGGTTGTTTTCTCTTGGTACTCTTTAGATTCTTTAAGAGATTTGTTTATTTCTTGAATTTTTTGGTGGTTTTTGTTTTTTATATTACGGACTTCAAAGCTACATAAAGTTTTTACCTTGGAAATAGAAGTTATCCTGAAAAATGAAACCTCTGTAGAGTGAAATGGCATTCATCATATCACACCCACTGCACTGGTTCCCACCCTAATTCTTTCTCTGAGGATTTTGTTTCAGTAGGTACAGACCTACTACGGTGGGTGTTTCTGCTTCTGATTTCTGAGTCTTTGGGTACTTTGATGAGCTATCAAATTTCTCTGGTTTCAATCAGTTCTTTTATAGTTGTTTCTCAGTTGAACCTCATTTAATGGGGTTTGGTGAATTAGCAATAACTGGTGAACAAAGGAAATGTTTTCCTGGCTTCAGATGCGGGGCCTGGATGCTTAAGTACCGCCACTGTGGAATGTTCAGACACGTGACGTCACAGCCGAATTTCTCTGATGAGTCATTACACACTTTCTTCCTCAAAGGATAAGTAGAGAAGGAAATTGTCCCTAGGCAGACATCTGGTTTATGGAGATGCCACTGTGTTCCCTGCTTTTTAGTCAAATGGGCTAAAGGTTCCAAGTGAACGAATGGGAATAGTTTCCACCTTGGAACACTTGGTCTGCCTGGTCATTTGAGATCAGTATAATCTCTAAGTCCTGCATATGGCCCCTGACTGCTCAAAGCCCTAAAGCAGGTAGACTGTCTCGGGTGGGTCTCTCACCCACAGTTGACTGCAGACAGCTTTTCACATCCGTCCCTTTTTCTGTTGTGCAACCATTCCCGTGTGTATTACAGAAGTAGGAGTTTTGTTCTGTGACGTAAATTCTAACTGTATAAACAGGATGATCTGAAACTCACGGTCCGTCCACTTCAGCCTCCTGAGGGTTGGGGTTACAGGTATGCACCACATATCTGGCTTAAAGAAGTCTGGCATATGAATAACAACATATATTTCCATCTAATTCCTTTGTTTTTTTTTTTTTTTTGGTTTTTACGAGACAGGGTTTCTGTATTGTTTTGGAGGCTATTGGTCCAGCCCTGCCTCGAACTCACAGAGATCCGCCTGCCTCTGCCTCCCGAGTGCTGGGATTAAAGGCGTGCGCCACCACCGCCCGGCATAAATTCCTTTATTCATATATAGGCCCAGTCCCTGCGATCAATGGAGCATTGAAGAAAGCTGGACTGAGTCTAAAGGACATGGATTTGATAGACGTAAGTGTTTTCTTTTCACAACAGGAATAAGTCACCTACTTTTGTAGCATAAATGGTTTAGCTTTGTAGCCTGTAGCTCTTCTTTTAATACTGTTAACTTTCCCGTGTGTTCTCCACCCACATACCTATGACTGTACATGCTTTGTGTTGGTATGTTCCTTGCTGTATTAAAGTGTTGTACTTATTTTTTGTGATTTGTGTCTACCTGTGTGTGACACACATGCACATTTGTAAACATAGGTTATATTGATTGTTTTTCCTTCATCTCTTTCTACCTTAGTTTTTGAGACAGATCTCAGCTCACCAGTTTGGATAAGCTGGCTAGTCAGCAAGCCTGGGGGAATCCTCCCATCTCCACCAGCCCACTGGGATTACTCCAATGTGCTGCTACACATGGGCAGAGGAAAGCTAACTTAGGTTCTTCTGCTTGCACAGAAGATACTTTATCCAAGGGCCATCTCCCCAACCCAACTTCACCTACTTCTGAGTGATTCAAGCACTCTGATCTCTCTTAATCCTGCAAACTTCTTAGAACCTCTTGGGATACTGTTGTAGTTTAGTCTTTGGTGTGCCTGTAACCAGTCTGTCTTTGGACCATGAGCTCTGGAATGACAACACGGAGACTTTTTATTAATTATGAAAGCTTGACTTTAGTTTAGACTTGTTCCCAACTAGCTCTTAAAACTTAAGCTAACCTGTTTATATTAATCTACATTCTGCCACATGGCTTGTTACCCCTCCTCAGTACCATATGTCTGCCTTCCTCTGTGTCTGGCTGCCACTACATTTCTGAGCTAGAGCATCCTACCTGCAGCTCTCTGGATGTGTAGATACTCAGGACAGAGCTGACACACTTCCCCCAGGCTTTGGAAGCCTGCTTTCCAAGCATATCCCAGATCCCGTCACAGCTCCGTGAGAGCTACCACATAAAACAGAAGGGTGAGTCAGACTCCGTCTTGGGAGACTCTAAACATCTAGTAGAAAAGAAAATGAGATTGAAACCTGACCCCAGCTCTGTAACAATCGCCTTCTTTACAGTGGATTTTCTTCATGGAATTCCTGAGCTGAGATCATATGAGAATACAGTGTTGTAGACAAAGCGCAGCCTTTCTCACGGGTAGCGGGCAGGTGTCACTGTGACACGAACAGTGCTTGGCACAGCTAACACAGTTACCAGTCCCTGCGCCTTAGGCAAGGATGGTATATTCTTGTCTATCAGTGTCTTCATGGAAGGATGGCTTAGTACCAGATAATAATAGCAGCCTTGTAAGCATACTCATGTGTGTCTGGAAATGCACGTAGACACTTTCTAAACATGACTGTATTTAACCTGGGAAACGAATCGAACTTTGCTGTGGAAATTCAAGTAGAAAAGGGTATTAAAAAGTACACACAAGGTCACATCCTGACAAATGAGACTGGAACCTTCCATGTAGCTTTTAAGCCTCTGGGCTCTCTACCATCTCTACTCCCTCTACACACATCTATTTTTATTGTAGATGGATTTTCTTTAAGGGATGCTTTTGATATGGAGTGTCATTTAGGAAAAATACAACTCTTTTTGTTTTTAAAGAGGTACATTTTGCTTGTGAGGCCCAGGCTGTCCTCTAACTTGGAATCCTCCCATCTCTGCCTCCCAATTAGCTAGACTTAGAGGTGTGTGCCTGTTTGTTTTTTCCTCAATATATGTTTTTATTTAAATTGGAAACATGCATGCTTCACATGTCATGGCTCCCTCTCCCACCCCTCCTCCCTTGTCCCTCCACCAGTCCCCCTCCAGCCCCCCACCCAATCCCCATATCATTCCCCAAGGAGGGTAAAAATCTCCTTGGGGGGATTTTCAGAGTCAGTCATTTCATCCAGGGCAGGACCTAGGCCCTTCTCCATGTGTCCAGGCTGAGAGAGCATCCCTGTATGTGGAATGGGCTCCCAAAGTTCATTCCTATGCCATGGTAAACACTGATCTACTACCCAAGGCCCCAGAGATTTCTGCGGCTTCCTCACTGACACTACATTCATGGAGTCTGGATCCATCCTCTGTTGGCCTCTCAGCCATCAGCCTGGGATTCAAGAGCTCCCCATTGTTCAGTCAGCTGTCTTTGTGGGTTTCACCATCATGGTCTTGACCCCTTTGCTCATCACTCTTCCATCTCTGTCTCTGTGCCTGTTTTTAATACCTATTTGTAAAGGAAGATAATTATAAATAAACTTAAACATGATTATGATTATGTTCACACACACACACACACACACACACACGTCTCTGAGGACCTACAGTCTTGACATGGAGTGACTGAAATAAATTCGAATAACATTGTAATTGAAATAAGAAGAGATAGGAAATAGCTGTTACCAGGACTGGACCTTCTTGTTAAAAACTAGCCTGTGACTAATGATTCTGTGGGTTTTAACTCTCTTTTAAGGTGAATGAAGCTTTTGCTCCCCAGTACTTGGCTGTTCAGAAGGCCTTGGATCTCGACCCCAGTAAAAGCAATGTGAATGGAGGCGCCATTGCCCTGGGTCACCCACTGGGAGGCTCTGGATCGAGAATCACTGCACACTTGGTTCACGAATTAAGGTACTTGCTAGATGTGCCACTTTTTTGAAGATTTACTTCTTTTATCATTTTATGTGTATGTGTGTTTTGCCTGCATGTATGTACATGTACCATGTATGTGCCTGGAGAGTTCAGAAGAAGGAATTGGATCACCTGGGACTGGAGTTACAGATGGTTGTGAGCTGCCGTGTGGGTGCTGGGAATTCAACCCAGGTCCTCTGGAAGAGCACCTAGTGCTCTTAACCTCTGAGCCATCTCTCTAGATCCCAAATGTGGCTCTCTCTCTCTCTCTCTCTCTCTCTCTCTCTCTCTCTCTCTCTCTCTCTCTCTCTCTCTCTCTCTTTTTCTTTAATAGAAACACATGAGTTTGTGTTTTCTCAACACAATCGTGTTTTTCCTTCTTCGTATCCCCTATACTGGTTCTGACCAGAAACAAGTTTGGGAGACCCTTTGCACTGGGCATTGCAATAGCGCTGGTCACCCTTCAAGCTCTTTCTGGAGTTTGCTGTGTGCACTGTACAAGCACCTGATGAGTGCTCACTCAGGCAGCCAGCCACATCAGGCCACCCTGGTGCTGGTGACCAACAGTGAGGCCCTGTTTCTATGGCTCACATTTTAGTGTCCACAGCTGTAGTAAGATAAACTTACTTAATAAGTCAAAATGTTGAGAAGATACAAATCTAGATGCCACTGTCAAAGACATCTGAGCAAACTGGCAATCTCTGCAAGCTACACTTTTACCTCACTATGTCCTGGGTATTTGATATTCTCCAGTTTGGGTAGGAAACTGTTGGCTTTATGATTCTGGGCCCATTCAGTTCTGTTAGGAGAGATGAAAATGGATTGACTGTGTGAGGCTGCAAACTCACTTGAGTCTGTTAGGTAAAGCTGGGAGGGATCCTGTCACCTAGTGACACATGAGATGGCAATCAGTGATTGACATTGAGGACTCCAGTCACCTAGTGATGCATGAGATGGCAATCAGTGATTAACATGAAAAATAATGCTTGGATAATTTCTTAAGGTCATAGGTCAAGACTGAGGAATGAAAACAGATAACCTAATTTTTTTATGACTAGGGCATGATCCCTTTCTAAATGGCCCACCCCTTCAGTAGACAAACTACATCAGTTGCATTTACTCTACAGTGACCTGGGAATCTAAAATCATGCTCATTGTTGCTGCTCCCCTTATCACCCCACTTATGTAAACAACCTCTGCATTTGCTGCTTCTCCTCAGCCTGCATAACCCTGTCTGTTCCCATCCTCTAACCTGAAACTGCCCTGCCTCTTTCACACTGTCTCCCTCTTGTGTGCTACTTTCTGTTGTTTTTTAGTGAGGATGTTGTGCTTTCTGAATTTTTTATCTATTGTGACCATAAACCAAAATCAAGCATTGGGAAAGGGCCTTGGAAGATGAGCTGGTTAAGAATAAGTATTAATACTGTTTAATTAATGTGTGTGTGTGTGTGTGTGTGTGTGTGTGTGTGTGTGTGCACATTCCACAGCATGTGTGTGGAGGTCAGAAGGGAGCTTGCAGGGAAATGGTTCTCTTCTTCCACCTTGTGGGTTCTAGGGATTGAACTTGAGTCATTAGGCTTGGTGGAAAGCCCCTTTACCTGCTGAGCCATTTCACTGGCCCCAATAACAATTTTTCATTCTTCCTTAGGCGCCGAGGTGGAAAATATGCAGTGGGGTCAGCCTGCATTGGAGGTGGTCAAGGCATTGCCCTGATCATTCAGAACACAGCCTGAGGAGATCACAGCAGAGTGACCTTCAGGGCGGCACTACTGCGACAGTGATTGCATTTGACCAGGCCTTGAGGCAAAATACATTAGGTTCTGTCCACTTCATACCTGCCTAACCTACTGTGTTAGAATAAAAACACAACCATCAAAGGCCTTAAAAGAAATGGTGTCTTTGTCAATAGCCACCACTGTATGCCTTATATGATACAATTGCAAAATGAATAAATGTTCCCTTAACTTTAGCTAATTTTTTCTTTTGTGTTTCTTTAATTACATAAAATGTCTCATTTTACCCACTTTTAAGTATGCAGTTCAATAGCATTGAGGACACTCACAATGTTGTGTAAATAGCATCACTACTCGTTTTCAGAACTCTTTCATCTTGTACAGCTGAAACTTTCCATTTTAAAAATGTATTACTTTTATGTATGGTTAGGTTTTCAACCAATTCCCAAATCATGACACGGAGATTACTATTAATTATGAATGCTCAGCCTAGGCTCATTTCTTGCTAGCTCTTATAACTTAAATTAGCATGTTTCTCTTCATCTATGTTTTGCCTCTGAGATTTTTACCTTTCTTTCATTCTACTCCATATCTCTGTCTGGCCCCAGAAGTCTTCCTCCTCCTTTCTGAGCTTAGGATTCCTGCTCCTACTTACTATCTCTGCCCAGCAACCCTACCTATCCCTCATTTGCCTCACTATTGGTCATTCAGTTTTTATTAGACCAATCAGATGCCTTAGGCAGGCAAGGTAAAACAGGAACACATTTTTATATAATTAAACAAATGCAGCAGCATAAACAAGTGTAACACACCTTTGCACAGTTAAAGTAATACTCCATAATATAAACAAATGTAACACATCTTTGCCTAATTAAAGCAATATTCCATAGCATAAACAAATGTAACACATCTCTGCCTAGTTTAAGTAATATTCCACAACATCCAGTTTCTTTTCTTTTAGCACCACCATGCCATCCAGATTTAGGAAGATCCAAAAACTTAGGACCCATGTGACATCTACAGCCGTGGGTGCATAGGTACACACCAGAAGCATTCTGGAGGCTGGGATATTGCTGGTGGCGTGCGTCACAAAGGGTAAGCTTAGACAAACATCATCCAGATGGCTCTGGAAAGTTGGTAGGCATTGTAGACATTTCGGGCAGATCGGATGGGACAGGTATTCTAACACTCGGGAGTCACAGAATACTGAGTGTTACACAGCTCAGTTGGAAAGGTATCCTGGAGCTTGGGAGCCAAGGACCACCACAGGTTGCAATAAGCTACAGCCCTGCCTCAGGGAAAGGCTTCCCCAGTGTATGGGCTCTGCACCAGCGGGAGAGGGTCTTCCAGCTGGGGATGTTTTCCCAGTATAGTAGTTTTGCTCCAGCAGGAGAAGGTTTCCTGGGGGAAGTTGCTACAGTTCAGCTCTGCTCCCTGGAGAGCGGAGTATAACAACTCAGCTCTGCCAGGGGAAGGTTTCCCCAGCAAAAGTGTTACAGTCCTGCTTGCTCTGCTCTGCCCAGGGTTGTCTCTGCTCTGGGGCAAAAGAAGGCCTTCACCCAAAGCTCATCGAAGGGGTTTATTGGGAGAGAAGAATCCAGGAGAGTGTCTGCCCTCTGCCAGAGTGGCAGAAGTCAGCCGGGTAGCATGAACAGCTACAAGCTGAACAGACACAGGGTTTATATAGGGCTTCCAGGGTGGGTATTGGTCAGATTTTAATACTGAGCTCACATTGGATAGAGTTCCTGCTCAAGGATTGGTTAGTTTTCTACACAGGGTTAGGGTCAGATTTGGCTCTGGTTTCAGGGCCAAAGTGTGTTTCTTTCTCTGGTCCTTTTTAGCCTTTTGGCTCTAATTTTGGGGCCAGGATATATTTCTTTCACTGACTCTGATTCCAGGGACAAAGTGAGTTTCTTTGGCACTAGTTTCAGGGTCAGGGTACATTTCTTTGGCTCTGGTTGCAGGGCCAAGGTGTGTTTCTTTGACTGGTCCCTTTTCCCGACAGGCATTACCTCTTAAAGGAAATGGAGCTTCTGCCCTATTGATGCTGATAGATTGTGGACATTAGTCAGGAACAGTCACATGTTGTTAAGTGCTGCCAAAAACAAGACTGAAACTATCCATCACTGATGTGGTGCAATCAGGCTACTGAATCACCCTGGGCAAGGGAAAGTTCACCAGGCAGTCTGTCATCGAAGTCACTTTTTCAGCAGGAGAGCTGAGGAAAAGATTAAGGGTATTAGGGTACCTGTGTCATGCTGGCTTGAAACAACAGGAAAGTTAATTATGTGGCAATAAATTCTTCTGGGAAGAGAGGGGGAGGGAGGGAGGGATGGAGGGGAGGGAGAGAGAGAGAGAGAGAGAGAGAGAGAGAGAGAGAGAGAGAGAGAGAGAGAGAGAGAGAGAGAGAGAGAGAGAGATCCAGGATCCAGGCATGGTCATGCATACCCATAATGTAGCACTTGGAAGTGGAGGCAGGAGGATTGAGAATCAGGCATTCAAGGTCACCCTTGGCTATAGAACAAGTTCAAAGCAGACTTTTCAGTAGTCAAGGAGCTGCCCTTACATAGTTTGCCTTCTATCTCCACAGAGTATCACAGAAGTATGTGTTTGTGTGTCTGTCCACGCATGCCCATAAGTGTCTGTACGGTTTGAAAGAAAGGTGTGTGGGTGACTGAGGGAAAGTTCAGAGGTGTTTGTTGCCTGGCTCTGAGAATCAGCAGAAAGCAATGAGGTGATAACAAGCAGTGAACCTTTAGCACACTGCTGGCAAGAGCTGGGAAGAAAAGCAAGTGTGTCAGAGGTTGCCCGCAGGACAATCCTAGAATTTATAATCCAAACCATATCACTTCTGAACTGTGGAAGCAACACTTATTACACTCGAGTAACAGGTGTAAATTGGCATGATCCCAGGCAAACCAGGACATAAGGATACCCGACTTCTAATTAAGCTGAAGTATGTTACCATGACTTCCTCAGCTCCAGAGAACTGAGAAAATACACTCCATGTATGCATGTTGCGTGTAAGCAGTTGTCCAGGTACTTCCCTCGGGGTGGTGACTGTTGAGCAAACACTTGAAAAAAAGTGAGAGACGCCTGTGCAAGCATCAAGGAAAAGAGTAGATGACAGTCGGCTTAGGGCAGAGAGGAGGCAAGTGTGGAGAGCAGTGAGCTGGGCAAATAATGGAGGGAGTCGGGCTGCCTGGGTTCGTCATGCAGAGCCTTGGAACTCACTGGGCTTGAGCTTTTTTTTCTTTTTTAGAAGACAGGGGAGCCACTGCAAGCTCTCCAGTAGAGGGGAAGCACCATCTCACATCTGAGGGCTGTTCCACTGAAGTCCACCAATGAGGGGCAGAGTTGTGAGCAGGGAGGCCAGCAACAATGCTATTGCAAGTGTCTGGGACGAGGCATTGTGCTGACACGGATCTGGGAACTGCACTGGGGGCAGTGAGCAGTTTCAGATTATAGACATCTGTTGAGGTAAAGCCTGGAAAGTCCCCAGTGGATAAGTTGGATGAGGTTGGCAGAGAGAAGAGTCCAGGCTGACTTCTGGCCTGCCTCTCGGAGTCACCAAGCCGGGGAGGTGGCTGTTTGTGGAGGAAGTTTGAGGTTTAGGGAAGGTCAGTGGTCTAGGTGAGTTGTCCAGCAGGCCCTGAGATGATGCAGGCTGGGTCTGGGAGAGAGTTGGAGGTGGAGGTTTTGACGTGAGAACCTCTGGCCTTGCTCAGCCTCGTCCTAGAGGAAACTTCAGCAAGGAATGAAGATGAGCTGTCCTTTCAGGGACACTCTGCAGTGTTCACATCCTTGTGTTAAAGAAAGATGCAGAAGACAAAAAGAAGGCTATCTGAATGCATGTGTGGTGCTCTCGGGAAGGGGCAGGGATTGCTTTTGATGCTTCCTGCAAGTGCTACTGTCTTGGCCTCCTTGGGGGAAAGGTTTGTAGACTATGATGATAGCAGAACGCCCTGTAAAGAAGAAACAAAGAAACAGTTCTTAGGACATGAATGGCTATTCATTTTCTTTGCATCCCATTGTGTGTGGGGGGGGGGGTTAGATTATCAAAAACCAAGCGTCAGAGTGATGTCATTTTGGACTAGCAGTAAGCACAGGGACACCTCCTCCCCTAGGTGGCGCCTGAGGCTTGTGCTTCCTCCTCCCTTTCTCAATTGCATTTAATAGGCAACTTAATTTAATAGGCATTAATTACAATTAAGTAATTAATTATAATTATTTAATAGACATCTCAGCTATGTTGGCCAAACTCTTGTCCCAGTGTCCTAAACAAGGGAGAAAAAGGAACCAACAATAAAGACAACCAGGACGGTTGGTGTGAACAAATGTCCCACCTCCTGTCCAGAATTCTGGTGTCCCCTAGCCTAGAACACTGTCCTGTGTTTCTCCTAAGTGAAAATGAAACAGAGTTAAAACCCCTAGAGCTGATATGACTGAGGCTCTGAGCCGACCACAGGCCCTTACTGAAGCGGAGAGGTGCAGGGCACCAGGGCCAGGGAAGTGGATCCTTGCCCACTCCCACCAGCTGAGAACACAGGTGAGATGGCTGAGAACAGTCTTCAACAGCAGAGGAGATGGGACAACAGTCAAGGCACCACCACACTCCTACCTTCATGGGACCCAGTGTCACCTCTCTCTCACCCTGACCTCTGTACTTATAAATGAGTCTACGGACTTTTTCAATGTGTCAAAAATCAGTGACATGAGCCATGTGGTAGAATGTACATTAATAAAAAATATGGGCCTAATTTAAGTTATAAGATCCCTAGAACCTGCAAAGGCTAGGCCTGGTGGTGTGCACTCATGATCCCTCTGGGGAGGTAAAGCTGGGTCTGTGGACCTGCTGGTCAGCCAAGCTACCCTGCTCAGTGAGCTCCAGGATGAGCAACCCCATCGAATAAACAACCAAACAAGCAAACAGGTAGGCAGAGAGCTCCTGAGGAATAAAACCTTGGTTGCTGTCTAGCCTCTGCACCCATACATACACATGTGCACTAAAACACACACATGCATGCGCATAAACACACGTGCGCGTTCATTCAAATGCACCCATACATACACATGTGCACTAAAACACATACATGCATGCACATAAACACACACGTGCACGTTCGTTCAAATACACACATACTTGAATATCCAGACACACACAGGTGTGCACACCCAAACACACATGGGCATGAGCATTCAAACACACACATGCATGTTCATGAGCACCAAAGCACACACTTGCATACATAACCAAACACACACACACACACACACTGAATTCATCTTACCAAATTTCCTTACATTTGGTAGTACCTTATAGGAATTTCTTTTTGGTAGTGAGGAACAATTATTTGAAGCTCCCACTAAATTCACTTAAACTTCAGTGTAGAACTCACTTCTGCACATGTGTTCATGTGTGCACAGTGGTGGCCAACTGGGAAGTATCTTCATCAGCCCCACTGATTCTGTCTCTGCCTTCCTCCAGATGCTCCTTTGTGCATAGACAGATGTGTGGCATGACATTAACTAAAGGTTATCATAAGATGACTTTAGGTTGAATTTGGGTGATTTACTGCTTTTGTCTTTACATTTTCTCGTTTTGCAGCAAAATTGCTGTGGGAGCAGCAGTGTCTTGGAGAGTGCTTGTGCTAAATTCCACTCCTCAATTGGCCCCACAAGGAAACTAAGAGCAAGATAAATTCTGGCAGCATCTCGTTGTTGTTGCTCTGGATTTTTGAGTCAGGGTCTCAAGTAGCCCAGTAAGACCTTGATCTTACTAAGTAGCCAAGGGTTGCCTTGAACATCTGTTCCTCCTATCTCTACCCCCGATTGCTGACAGCACAGGCATGAGCCGCCACACTGGTTCTATGCGGTGTTGAGGGTCAAGCCCAAGGCTCCACACTTGCTAAGCAAGAACACTAACAATGCTCTAACAACTGAACTGCATCCCCCAGCCTGGTGAACAATTAAAAACAAACTACTAGTCTCTCCTAAGGCTAGAGAGCCCAGGTTAGCCCATGTAGCCAAATGACTTCAGTTTGTCACCAAAGAAATCAGGTCCAGCTTCTCTAAAGGCAACATTATGAGTTAGAAAGGGTCAATCCGTGGGGGAGGGGCACCAAAGACCTGCTGCGTTAAAGCAAGGACAAGGAAAGTGGCATCATGGGAGCAGAGCCTGCCTCCAACCTCACTCCCATTTTGTCACCCAGATCATGTCCTTGGTGGCCCCCTCACCTCCCCAGGCAGAATTCCTTCCCCCAGGCACATTCTGGGTTTTGCACAGACTTGCGTAAGTGCATATAATACAGCACACTATGGTTCATTTAATAACACATCCCGAGTCTACAAATTCCTTGAAAGCAAGAACTGTGTCCTGCTGATCTTGCTTCTCCCCTAAAGCAGATTGTGGTCCTTGGAGTACGGCAGTGTTACTGTGCAGTAAGGAAACAGACTTTCCAACCCTGTTGAATCCTGGGGACATCACTGGAGGATGCGGGCAAAGGCATATCTGCTTGAGTATGACAACCAGGGACCAGAGGAACAACAATGGTGGAAATGACGGACATAGCTGTTGCTACCGTCTACACTGCAAATCAATGGAGATCAGACTCAAGTTCATAAGGAAAACAAAACAACAAAAAAAGTTGTTCCAGTTTTCTATGGCTAAAATGTCCTGGGAGAACTTCAGGTGAACTTAATCTAAGAACTCAACTGTGCAGGTCTGTGCTTACTGAGAAAATGCGTGCACCTTCTTCCCAGTGAGCCTGGTAAAATTGGTGTCAATTATCACCATCTTGTCTGAAATACTTCCTACCTCAAATCAGTCGCCAAACCAAAGGAATGAGCCATTCTGACTTTGCTGCTATGATAGATTCTAGCCAGTCTCCTGCTACTTTGCCGTGGTGAAACATGTAAAGACCAAACAGACTCGTGCAAGGCTGAGCAGGGTGTGCTGGCTCAAGAGTTATGGAATAGGCTTCCTAGCTCAGCCAGCGATCAGTGTGTGACCCTGCCAAGTCACTGCACACCACAATCCAGGCTTCTCCTCCTTTTCACACAATGTAGCTAGACTCCTGGGCATTGTGGAATATCAATTTAAGATGTGTTACATTCATTTATGCTGTGGAATATGTGTTTCATGATGCAAAGATGTGTTTCATTCTTTTATGTTGCATTGGTTTAACTCTGTAAAGCTGTGTCACTTTGCTTGTCTAAAACACCTGATTGGTCTAGTAAGAGCTGAATGGCCAATAGCCAGGCAAGAGAGATAGGTGGACTGGCAGGCAGAGAGAATAAATAGGAGAAATCTGGGAAGAAGAGATTGAGGTATGAAAAAAGGAGAGAGGATACCAGGGACCAGCCAAATAGCTACACAGCAAGCCATGGAGTAAGAAGTAAAGAAAAGAGATGCAGAAATAGAGAAAGGTAAAAAGCCCAGAGGCAAAAGATAAATGGGTTAATTTCAGTTAAGAAAAGCTGGCTAGGAATAAGCCAAGCTAAGGCTGTAAGTTCATAAGAAAGAATAAGCCTCAGTGTATTTATTTGAGAACTTGGTGGCAGCCCCCCCAAGAGTAAAAACAACCAATTACACCTGGGTCTCACATTCCCCTCCTTTTCCAACCCTCCGTCTTCTAAACCCCAGCGTCCTGGTAGCTTCTACCCCACCGAGCCCAGCTTTGATAGCCCCTCCAGCCATTCCCAACTCTAGCCACCACTGTCTGGTCACAGCATCATTGTGAGCTGAAGTCTAGAATTATTGTGCTGGGATTGAGCTTCAGCCCCTCTAGCTTCCTCAGAGCTGCTACCTGTCCCAATGGTTCCAGATGCTACAGAGCAAACCCGAGACAAAGAATCCCCATTGGTGGAGCTAATGTCTTCTCTGTCTCTGTCTCTCTGTCTCTCTCTCTCTCTGTCTGTCTCTCTCTGTCTGTCTCTGTCTCTGTCTCTCTCTGTCTCTCTCTCTCTCTCTCTCTCTCTCTCTCTCACACACACACACACACACACACACACACACACACTCATACTCACAAACTCACACACCAGGGCTGGATCAGTGATGGCTTGGGCTCTGACTCCTCCGACCTCCAAAGTCCCGGCTTCCTGTTTTGTCACAATGCCTTGGAAGCTGAGGGACATTCTGTTTATCTGTTTATGAAGGTTGTGAGAGGCAGTTCCAGACTGTTCTGTTTCTTGAGTTTGTGGCTTTAAACAGGCTTCATCTCATGGGCAGGGCCTTGGCCGTTTTTTTGTTTTGTTTTTGTTTGTACTGTGTCAGGACACTTCTACAGAGATCAAATAGTACTGATGCCTTTGAGTCATTGCAGCAACCATCTCAGATCTGTTCCCAGCAGTCATGTAGGCATTACACAGCTGAGCGGGTTCAGGCCCTAGAGAGGGTGCTGTGTGCTTCCTTGCCTCTGAGCTCAGGACCTGACAGTGGCTTCTGCACCTGGACTGCATTCCAGCCTTGGAGCTCTAGGGGTCGCCAGATAGCCTTGCCCTTCCCATGCTCCAGCATTAAGAACAGTAGCAGAAGGGAAATGTTACCATGAGGAGCCAAGTATCAATAGAGTACCCTCAGCCACCCACCCCCTTTCTCAGGGTTGTTCTCTTGGTCATCCCTGTCCCTGGGATCCTGGGCCCCTCAATATCAGAACCCCGTGCTCATCAGGCATGGCGGCCCATGTCTGTAACCCTAGAGGCAGGAGGATGGATGCAAGTCTGAAACCAACTCTGCTCTACACAGTGGTTCCAAGACAGCAAGGGCTCCTTGAGACTGTCTCAAACAAAGAAACAAAACCCTAAAAAATAATGTCAGGTATTCTAGGGGCCTCATGAGGACTGACCCACCTACCCCAGAGTTCAAAGGCCATGAACCTTCTCTGGGAACAGCCTCATACTAGTTAGTGCCTCAAACTCTCTTCTGGAAGGATGGCTTGCTCTGTGGGAGACAAGGTTAGCCCTGACGACCATGGACTGAGCTGAGGAACCATCAATATTATGAAATAGGAGAAACCCCTTCAGGGAAAAGAATATATATAAGTGTCCCTGAGGTGCTGGAAGCTGCTGGAAGGGCCCTTGACACCAGGAAGCTTGCCCTGGGGGTCTCCCTGAAGGAGCCCAGGCCACCAATGAGGCAGAGTCCCTTAAGTCTTTCCCCAGTGACTGCTGGGCAGTTTCATAGCGAAGTCCTGGTTCGGGCTCTGGCTTCCCTCAAGAGGGTCCAGTGGTTTCTGCTTCCAGCTTTAGCCCAGTGAGATCTCTCGCCATGTAGGGGGTCACCTCTAACCATGGCACCCCGAACGCCAACAGGTCCCCCAAGGAAACATACCTTGGTCCTGAACCTGTTGCCATCACATCTGACCAACTATCCCTAAACAGTGGTTCTCAACCTGTGGGTCATGACCCCTTTAGTGGTCGCATATAAAACGCCATGCATATCAAATATTCACATTATGATTCATAACAGTAGCAAAAGTACAGGTATGAAGTAGCAACAGCATAGTTTTACTGTTGGGGATCACCACACCACGAACTGTACTGAAGCATCGCAGTTTTAGGTAGGTTGAGAACCACTGCCCTAAACTACCCCCGGTGGAGGACAGCATCCCCTGAGCTCTGGCATACCAACAGTCATCACTGTTGTGCCATCTTCTCCCTCCCACTAAGTTGGTGCTGGCTCATCTCAGCCAAAGTCTCAGAAACCAAGCTCCAGTTTTGATTATCCATCTGACAAAGACCAAGTGAGAGGCTCTGTCTGCCTGTTCGCCAGGACCGGCAAAAGCCTCCCTGGACCCAGGCCTGCTCTGCCCAGGCAAGGGCAGGCTTGCTTATTAGTATTATAGAAACCAAGGGGTCAGTTACAATGGCACCGTTGCCAGAGTAAGCACGGGGTTTGTCCAAGCAACAGCGCTCACACAGTCCTGGGTTCTGACTTGTGCTGGCTGGAACCAGGTGCAGCTCCCATGGCCTGGCCCTTCCGAGGTGGGGATGTATTTCCCATGCGGCATCTGCGGGGAGGCACCGGTGACAGTAATCAGCTTCCTGAAGTTTCCTCATCAGCACAAGTTCTTTTTTTTTTTTTTAAAGATTTATTTATTTATACAACATCCTGCCTCCATGTATGTCTACACACCAGAAGAGGGCACCAGATTTCATTACGGATGGTTGTGAGCCACCATGAGGTTGCTGGGAATTGAACTCAGGACCTCTGGAAGAACAGTCAGTGCTCTTAACCTCTGAGCCATCTCTCCAGTCCCAGCACAAGTTCTTGACACCACATTTCCCAGGTTACCTCTGAGCACACCTTGCTTCTGGGCCCTGCTTTTGCACGAACTGATTGTAAGACCTGAGCAAGTAAGTCCCTTGGGGCCTTGAAGCCTTGGCCTCACTGAGTAATGAGAGGGCTACGGAGGGCCTGCAAGAGTGTTATTCACTGACTAGGCATAGGCTAGGGACTCCAGCGGAGCTGAGTGGGAACAGCGATTCAGTCACCCATTGAGTCAGTTACTTCATCTGCCTCCACCTTTAGGACCAGTATACGAGGCCTGCAGTGAAGATTAAAGGAAACAGGGGTGGGCATTCAACATCAAGGCTGGTGAATGCTAAGACTTTTTAAGGCTGGCTATGGTAGCCCATGTCTGCAATCCCAGCACTCAGAAGCTGAAGCAGGGGGATGAGTTTGAGGTCACACATTGAGATCATCTTAGTGTGTGTGTGTGTGTGTGTGTGTGTGTGTGTGTGTGTGTGTGTGTGTGTGTAAGCAAGCCAACAGATTTTTAAGAGCCATCTATTATGCTTTCTAACAGTATTTCCTCTCCCTTTCCTTTTTCACCTCATCCTCAGGACAGCACAATGGCCCCAAATGTACCATAATTGTTGTAATAGATTTTTACGCTTCTTTTTAAGAAAAGGAAAACCTGTTGGAGGTACACACAGAGGAGTAGCCAGCATGTGGCAGGAAGAGCATAGCAGGCTGGGAACCTACAACCAGGAGCCGAGGTAACTGGTCAGTTGCTTCTAGACTCTTGGAGAGCCAGCCTTTAGGAATTCTGAGAACTGTGATTGGAATGTGTGGCTCCATTGTAGATCACTGGCTTTCAATAGGGCAGTGGTTCTCACCCTGTAGGTCCCAACCTCTTTGGAGCGCAATGATGCTTTCACAGGGGTCGCCTAAGACCATTGGAAAACACATATATTTACATTATAATTCATAACGATAGTAAAATTACAGTTATGGAGTAACAATGAAAATAATTGTATGGTCAGGGGTCACCCCAACAAGGACAACTGTGTTAAAGGGTCACAGCGCTAGGAGGGCTGACGGCCACTGCAATAGAGACTGGTTCTCATTGTTTTCACACGGGCTGATTTCAAGAGCTGCCTGCCGGGCCCGTTTCTAAAGAGCCAAAGCATCAGGGGCAGCTGCCATGGAAAGCATGACTTTCCTGAGGGATTAAGATGCCCTCACAGGCTCTCAACCACCTCAGTGTCTACGTCTCTGGCTTGTGCTTCATTGAAACCAGACGCAGCTCCCATGCCCTGGTCTTTACAAGGCAGGCACTCACAGTCTGTGTTGGCAACCGCCTCGGATTGTCTCCCTTCATCTGTCTAGCCTGGACTGTCTTCCAAACACTGCAGACAGTTCGGGGAAGCCATGAACATGGCCAGGGCTGGGAGAGGCTGGGGGAGGGGGGTGTGCTCCAGCGTGGTCCAGCAGGCAGTTACTGCCGGCTGCCTTCCAAGGGCTGCCAAACTGGTTTTCCTACCCCACCCTAGCCAGATCAGGAGATCCTCCCAGCCAATGGGAGGCTGGACCCCAGTGACTCACCCCCTCACCCCATCCCACCCCAGCTCATGGTCTCTCTGCAGATGTTTGAGGACTGCTTGAAAGCCCGGTTCAGGATCACTATCAAGTCCAAGGTTCCTGCTTTGGTTCAGATTCTCAATTTATTACAGGGAAGTGGGGGCTGAGACTTGAAGGCAACATCGTTTTTACAGCCGCCCCACCCCAAAGCTGGGGCTCAGCCAGGCCTGACCATCTGGGGGTGACCTCTAGAGGTGTTGCCTGGGAAGAAGGGCTCCTCCCTTCTTTCTGAAGTCCATTTTACTGGAATTCATATCAGGGCAATTGATGTGTATGGTGCAGAGATGTGGGATGATCCAGAGATGAGGAGTTGATTCTGCAGTGCCTGCTCTTGGCCTTGGAGCGAGATGAGGGATAGGAGCAACAAACAAATTGTCCTGGATTCCAGAATGCCAGCTCCCAGAGATGAGGACTGAGCCAGGAAAGGCAGGTTAAGTTAGCCGTTACACCGGCCAGCCCTTATCCCTTCAATCCAAGACAACACTGTTCACTTCATAGCCTTCCAATTCCTTTTTGTTTTCTTATTAAAATGAAAACCGTATGGAAATGAAAGAATCCACACACCTTTCGCCCAGCTTCGGTGATTAGCCACCAGAGGCTCCTTTAGCATTTCTGTAAGGGGGAGGCACTGCATGGCAGCTACCCTTAGCATCACGTGGCTGCTACTGCATTCCCATCCCTAGGTCTACAGCTAAGTCAATGGGAAGTCTGATAGGTGGTCATGGGTAAACAGATTGGATCAAACAAACCAGGGGGCGAAATCAACAAGGAAACAGCTGTGCCTTAAACAGAAGGTCCCTATGTTTTCAACACCCACAAAATCTTTTTGCAATTTTCATTCCATTGTCCTGTTTGAAGGTTTTTTCCTGTCAAATTCCATCTATTAGTGGTGTGTGTGTGTGTGTGTGTGTGTGTGTGTGTGTGTGTGTCTGTGAAACTCCATATGAGGAAAACTCTGAGGAGCAGGCTCAAGGATCAAACTCAGGGTATCAGATTTTCATGACAAGTGTGTTACCTACTGTGTCATCTAGCCTCCTTTTTTCAATAAATTAAAAACTGATCACAACTTGTGTTCTGGCATTCATAACAGCATTATTTACAATGCACAAAAGATAGAAATAACCCAAGAGTTCATCAAGAGATGAATGAATAAACTATGGTATATACGTATAAGGGATTAGAATTCAACCTTTCAAAGGAATGGTGAATTCTGACATGATAGCAAGTGGAT